CAACTATATAAAGACATGTATCTACCATTATAGTATCACATGGGGTATTTTCGCTGCTCTAGAAATCCCCTGACACATCACTCACACAACCACTTATCTCCATAATTTTGCCTTTTCCAAAATGTCATATAGTAGGATTCACAGCATGTAAACTGTCCAGACTGGCTTCTTTCAACTCAGTAACATGTATTTGAGGTTCCTCCATGTCTTTTTATGGCTTGATAGCTCATTCCTTTTAACGGCTGGATGATATCCCATTGTCTGGAAATACCAGTTTGTTTACTGATTCATCTCCTGAGGGACATTTTGATTGCTTCCATGGTTTGGCAATTATAAATAAAACTATTATAAACATCCACGTGCAAAAAAATTTTAAAAACCAAAAAACTGTGCATGTGCAGGTTTTTGTGTGGACATAAATTTTCAACTTCTTTGGGTAAATACCAAGGAGCGTGAATACTGGATTATTTGGCAAGAATGTTTAGTTTTGCAAGAAACAAAGTGGCTGTACAACTTTGTATTCTCACCAGTAATGAGATTTCCTGTTGCTCCACGTTTCCACCAGCATTTGGCATTGTCAGTATTCTAGATTTTGGTGGTTCTCTTAGATGTGCAGTAGTATCTAATTGTTTTAACTGGTATTTCCCCTGATGACACAGGATGTGGAACATCTTTTCATATGCTTATTTGCCACCTGTGTACCTTCTTAGGTGACTTGTCTGTTAAGGTATTTGGCCCATTCCTAATCAGGCTGTTTGTCCTTATTGAGTTTTAAGAATTCTTTGGATATTTGGGATAACAGTTCTTTACTAAATGTGTGTTTTTATTTTTTTTTGCAAATATTTTCTCCCAATCTATGACTTGTCTTCTCACTCTCCTGACAAAGCAGCATAGTTTTTAATTTTAATAAAGTCCAGCTTATCAATTATTTCTTCTATGGATGCCTTCAGTGTTATATGTAAAAAGGTATTACTATAACCAAGCTCATCTCGGTTTTATGTTATCCTCTAGGAGTTTTATAGTTGTGCATATTACACTTGGGTCTATAATGCATTTTGAGTTAATTTTTGTGACGAGTGTAAGGTCTGTGTCTAGACTCATTCTTTTGCAGGTGGCTGTCCAGTTGTTCCAGCACCATCTGTTGAAAAGAATTATCTTGACTCCATTCCACTGCCTCTGCTCCTTTGTCCAAGATCAGATGACTATATTTATGTGCGTGTATTTCTCAGCGCTCTATTCTATTTCATCAATCTACTCGTCTTTTATCAGTAGCACACTGTCTTGATTAATGCAGCTTTACAGTAGTGCCATTCCTCCAACTTTGTTCTTCTTCCTCAATATTGTGTTGGCTATTCTGGGTCTTTTGCCTAGCCATATAATGTTATAATCAGTTTGTTGATACCCATAAAATGAGTTGCTGGGATTTTGATTGGATTGCATCAAATCAAAGGTCAAGCAGGGAAGAACTGACAACTTGACATATTGAGTCTTTTTATTCATGAACATGGAATATCTCTCCAATTATTCAGTTCTTGATTTCATTCATCAGTTTTGTAGTTTTCCTCACATAGATCTTCCACATATTTTGTGCTACTGTAAATGGTATTATGTGTTTGATTTCAAATTCCATTTGTTCATTACTGGTATAAAGGAATTGATGAGGGTTTCATGGATGTACGTACATCAAAACTTATATTGTATACTTAAAATATGTGCAGTTTATTGTATGACAATTATACCTTGATAAATCTGTTTATTACAAAAAACAACTTCAATAATAATTCACGCGAGACTCTAACAAAAAAAAAAATCTGAACAATTTACCAAGATATATGAATGACAAGAACATGGAAAGATGCGCAAAATCATTAATCTTTAAAACTATGTATCTACCTTGAAAAAACGACACAAAGAAAGGCAAACTCATTTAAATAGAAATTTACTTGGTTTCCTTTCCCAGTATCAATTTTCTCATTTCAAATTTCAGTATGTGAAATCTATACTCCAAAGTTTCCCAAGTTCCTTGTACTTTTAGATTTTATTTTAAAACCTTTTTGTAACAAAGGTTTTTTTCATTACAAAAAAAAAAATCCTTTTAGGATTTTTACTTTTATAAAAATATGTTATTTGCTGAGAAAATTCTGATTTTTTTTACATTCATACAGAATCTCCTATGACTTTTTACATGTACATTAAATTAACATAGCCTTTTCCACACTCCCCACATTAATTTATAGTGCTTCTCCAGTGTAAATCACATTTTCTAACAAAAAAGATCAAAGGCTTTCCTATATTCTTTTCACTCATGAGATCTCTAATATGAGCTTTCATACTTTCTGAAGCAGAGGATAAAAACTAAAAAAAATTCTACATTTTTTTACATTCATAAGATTTTTCACACCTGTGAAATCATGGCTGAATATTAAAGTATGATGCAGACCTAAAGACATCCCACATTCCTTAGAATAAGGTTACCCCCACTATAAATTAGTACATGTGTAGTAAGCGTGAGAGTATTGAAGACGTTCCCCACATTCTTTTATTTATTTATATTTTTAATTTTTGTCATTAGTTTATAAGCATAAGCTTCTCTTAAGTGGAATTTTAACACATTCAGTAATGCATGGAGAACTAAGGGCTCTCCTACATTCCTCATATATATGGCTTCTCCCCACAATGAGTTCTTAAATGTCAAATAAGATATTAGGAATGAGTACAGGCTGTCCCACATACCTTACATTTAAAAGGACACTTGCCAGAGTTCTCATGTGTACCATAATGCCTGAGGAAATAGTGAAGGCTCCCCAACATTTACCTTTGTAGTGCTTCTCTCCAGGATGTGTTCCTTTGTTGACTAAGGTGCAAACGCTAATGAAATGCTTTCTCACATTCCTTACACTCAAAAGGTCTTTCTACACTGTGACTTTTTAAATGTTGAATAAGAAATGAGGATCATTGAATAAAGGCTTTCCTGTACTGCTTACAATTGTAGGGTTTTACTCCAGGGTGAATTTGTATGTGACTTTTAAAGCAAATGAATTATTACAGGCTTTCCTGCATTCTTTATAGAGATAAGGCTTCTCACAAGTGTGAGCTCTTATATGTATAGGTGTGAGGAACTAGCAAAGGCTTTTCCACATTCCTTACATTTATAAGGCTTCTCTCCAGTGTAAGCTTTTCTGTGTTTTGTAAGACCTGAACAATCAGTGAAGGCTTTCTCACATTACACTCATATGATTTTTCTCCAGTGAAAATTAAGAATCTTAAGTCTTGAGACACAAGTAAACTTTTTGCCATACTCCTTCCAAACATAGTTGTTTCTCTCCAGTATGAAATCTTCCATGTTTTGCAAGAGCTGGGGAAGGAAAGGCTTTCTCAAATTTCTTACATTCCACAGGCATCAGTACACTGTGAGTTCTTAAATGTTGAGTAAGATATGAAGACTGAGTGAAGGTTTCCCAACATTCTTTACATTCACAGGGTTTTTCTCCATTGTGAGTGCACACATGTACAAAAAGGCTTATAGAATGAGAATAAACTTCCCGACATTCCTTAAAAGCACACAGCCTCTCCTCGTCATGAATTCTTAGCGCATTCTCTCAGGTGTGAGAGAAAAGGTAAGCCTTTCCCAGCCAGTGCATTCATAGGGTTTCTCTTGGGTATAAGTTCTCTTGTGAAGCAGAAGATGTAGATTTTGGCTAAAGGCCATTTCACAGATTACACTTAGGAGGTTTCTCTCTAGTACAGGTTTTCTTGTGTAGATTGCAGAGTTCTTTGTTAAGGCTATTTCACACTGATTATACCCATGAGTCTTTTTTCTAATGTAAGTCCTCCTGTGAGTCTTAAGGCATGAATGTTCACTCACCGTTTCTTCACAATAGTTAAAGTTAAACAATTCCTCTCCAGTGTGGTTTCTCTCCTGTTGATGAGATCATTGACAGAAGTATTCCTGTTTTATTACATTTGGATTCTCTGTTCTGCCTTGAATTCCATTATACTATACACGAAACAATCCAGTACAACTGAAGTTTATTTTTGTCTTCCATTTTCATTTCAATGCACGGTTTCAGACCTGAGTATTTTCAAGTAGAATGAAGTGACCACTCTGTTAGAAAGCTGTTAACATTCTTTACTTTCACAGTTTAGCTGATAACTGATCAAGACAGAATTATTGATCAAAAACTTTATGTTAATTACATATGTGGGAATATTTGAGTGAACACTGTGAAAAAAATATATTGTGAAGGAGTATTTAAAGTGTTTCCCAAATTCATGATGCTCAGAGACTCTAGGAGAAACAACTTCATTTTTGGTGAATAACACCAGCCTTAAGTGTCTGTCATGGTTACTGTGTGGTTTTTCTATCCTATGGAATTTCCAATCTTCCACTAATGTGAAAAGCAAAGAATTATACCATATGAATCTTACCGTTTCCACCATATTGGATGTATTCCCTTGCACAATATTCTGCTGAATATTGTGCATTTGATATTAAGAGAAATCTCCCAATCTGAAATAAGAGTAAAAAAAAATTAAGTGCTTGGAGAAATAAACCATGGAAGGAAGGTATTAAAAGTGAAGGCCAACAAGCATTTACTTTCAAACACTGACTTAAAATATATTCAAAAATAGAAAGAAATGAAAACATAGAGATTGAAAATTTTGGCAATAATAAGGCACTGTGGTCAAACTCGTAGGTGATTTACTGAGAAATAATTCTATAAATGTTGAGACTGACGGTGAATAGAAAGCAACATAACCAGGAAAACAAAGTTGAAAGGGAATTGATAAAGAACTAAATGCAAATGCAAAATTAAAAAAAAAAAGAAATAGGCCAAAAGAAGTTTCAGAAGACGAATGAAAAGGAAAAAAAAAATGTTTCGGGTACCCAAGGAACCTCACAAACCAAATGGCCTCAGCATTCTTAAAACAACAACAATAAAAAAAAAAACCTTCGAAAGCTTTCTATTTAACATTTCCAAATGGACTGCAGTGCTCGTGGATAAGGGCTGTTTCTCACAAAGAATCACATCTGCCTTTCCTCTCACTTTGGAGAACTTTCCCCACCATCTTCAATTTTCCTCTTCATTTCACCCAAAAGAGCAGACCAGGTCTGCATAGCTGGTGCCCCACTCTCACAGAAAGATGCTTCAGGACGTGGAAAGGGATGACAAATACTTCTATGAATTAGGGGCCACAATTCTGCTCTTCAGGGATACCAAATACTGTTAAGCATAACTTGAGAAAAGACAAAATGTTCATGCCAACTCTATCAAACCAGTGAACTTTCAAATGACACTAATATGCAAACGCACACACTCTCTCTCTCTCATTATTCACCAAAAGGGTTGCTATCTCCCCTGAGACCCAGGCTCAAGCATTTTTGATCCAAAGCCTTTTATCCATAGAGAAAAAAAGCCAGTGCAACGAACAGATCTCCACTTTCATGAGGAAGCCACCGGACGGTGAGATCCATGAGAGCAGAAGCGATGCCTTCTCTATTTACCATGGCATTGCCATTCATCAGCACATAGTCAAAGAAATATTTGTTCCAGAAAAAAACTAAATAAAGAAATAGTACCGGTCTTACCCACTGCAACCATATTCTTGTAGTTCTCCAGCATCACATCTCTGTACAAGTGTCTCTGAGTTTGATCTAGCAAAGTCCACTTCTGGGTGAATTCCACAGCTATGTCCTCAAAGGTCACTGGGTCCTAAACCATCACAAACATTCTGGCATCAGGCAATTACCATCTTCACCAATGTTCACCGGAGAAAGAGCAAGGGAGAACCAAGGCCTAGACAGGGTTCCATGTTCTCCCATCACCGCCCTCAGGACTTGATGGACCTCACGCCCCTTCTCCCTACCTGGACACACTCTCTGGTGATCTCGTCCAGTCACAGACTATTAAGAGTGCCTCTTTCACCTGACTGAAAGCATGTATCTCCCCCAACTGGGTTGTGACCTCTTCTGTTCTTATTTTTCTCTACTGACAGGGTTTAGCACAGTCCTGAGTACATTACAGACACAATAAATGCTCGTGAATGAACGTTTCCTCCAGTGACAACACAAATTCCGAGAAGCACATGTCCATTCTCTCACTGTGTATCATAAAGAATGAGAGCACAAAATTAGTATGGATGAGAATCAGACGGAATGAGTAAATACTGAGATAACAGTATCATTTCCCTATGTAATCTGTCAACCACACGAGAGGCCTTGAGACCTGAGACAATGTAACTGGGGACTCAGTCCTTAAGCAGACCCTATTTGCAGTAAGACGCTCCATTAGAAGGATACATGTCTATCTGGTAGGAAGAAGCATGTGTTTTAATAAAAGAGTACATTTCCTACTCACCTCAGAATAATGTGTCAGACATCCAGTTACAACCCTTTTCCCCTCTGACTTCTCATGGAGACAGAAAGAGTCTTGAGAAAGATAACCTTGAGGAGAAGAAATAAAAACTGAAAACCTAGATTGCCCAGTTTCCACACTCGAAAGCCTGAAAGCATTCCAAATTCTAAATGGACACACACACACGCACACACACCCCACTACCATAAATTGTTCAAGTAGCCTGTCTCATCTGAAGTCGTAACAGCAGTTTTGGGTTTTGATACTTAGGAGGAAGAGTTTAATAATTCCATTTTACAGATAAGGAAGCTAAAGTCCAGAGAAGTAGAGTCATTATTGTTTGCTGACAATTATAAAACTCATCATATGGTGAAGCAGAACCTCTTCCACAAAAATACACATACTTACCTATCCTTCCCAAATCCCAGGATTTAGACAACAGGCTATTCTTATCTACTTAAACCCCCTCTCCTAGGCAGCCTAGACCCAGGACTGCTTAGACCCTGACACAAGACAGATTGTTTATGGGCTAGAGTAAGATCTCTAAAAATAGCATCAACAAGGACTTACCACAAGGGGAGAGATCGATGGCTGGCATCCTGTGAGTCTGACCGTGAAACCTGTCTGAACGCTTCTTATTCCCAAACTCTCTTTAAGACAGTGCCTGAATTTCAATCTCAAATCCTCTTCTTTAAGCAGTAATAGGGAGTCTTGCCTCATACCTTCAGTCTTTAAGCGACGGGCATTACTCATCTGTTAAACATCGTTCATTAGCCATCTCTCTGAAGAAGATAAAATTATATATGTGAAAGCCATCAGAAACTCTAGAGTACACCACATGAATATAAATAATTGCCATTTAGAATGCCCAATATGTGCCAGAAACACTGGTAGTTCATGCTACCACCAATATAGCTATTACTGTCACTGAACAATTGAGGCAGCTTCATTCACAGTAATAACTGGCCCAGGATGACCAACTAGGAAGTGGTGAGGTAGGGTTTGAATGCAGGTAATTGTCACAAAAACCTGAACTCCTAAGGTTACTGCTATTCTACAACATGACTAGAAGATGATCAAGAAGGGGTATGCAGGAAAGAATTAACTTGGCAGGTCTGGGTTGCCTGGAAAAGGCCCATCTTCAGGACCTACCCTAGGCTGGGCTTGTGGGAAATGACTTCTAGGTCCACTGAATATCCTACCCGATAAGAGTGATTTTGTATGCCTGAGGCCTTAGGCCACACCAGTTTGACCAGATAGGTTAAGCTAACAATGTGATTTATGGTGAACATGTTTTTATATGTCTCAGGCTTTGGCAATGTTGTAGAATTTGAATTCAGGGGCCTGGAGCCTGAATGGCTAAAGTCAGCCATGCAGGTGCTGCATGTCTACATGACTGACCCCAATAAAAACCTGGATACCAAAGCTCAGGTGCTATAGACTAAATGTTAAATGTTTGTGTCCCTCCCATCCCCAACCCAGCCCCAAGTTGTACATTGAAACCCCAGTGTGATGGTATTTGGAGGTGGAGCCTTTGAGAGGTGATTAGGTCATGACAAGTGGGATTAGTGCACTTATAAGAGACCCAGAGAACTCTCTTGCCCACGAAGACTGCCATCTATTTACCAGGAAGTGGGTCCTCACTAGACACTGAATCTGCTGGTGCCTTGATCTTGGTCTTCCCAATCTCCAGAACTGTGAGAAATTTCAGTTTACAAACCAACTGATCTATGACATTTTTGTTACAGCAGCTCCTCTAACCAGTCAGACTAATACATCAAGTGAGCTTCTTTGATTGGCAACACTTCATGTGATGTTACGCATTGTTACCAGAAGTAAGCAGTGCCATGTGACTGCACTGGGAGAGGACACCTGGGGTCTTTCCCCTTTGCTGATTCTAATTGGTATCCTTTTGTTGTAATAAACCATGACTGGGTTTAACAGCATGAGTCCTGGGAGTCCTAGTCAATTGCTAAGTATGAGAGTGGTCTTGAGAACCCCAACACAAATGCTTTATTGAATTCAGACATCTCCGAGCTCCCCCAGCTGGCAGGGCCACGTAGGCCCAGTTGCCTTCCGTTAAGTCCTTTTATTGGCTTTTGCTTTCATTCATTACGCAAATATTTATGAAAGGCTTTCTCTCTGTTATATAATACACTAAGCACTGAGGATAGAATACTGAACTATAAAGAAAATGCCCCATACTTTAGGTATATCACATTCCAGAGGGCTAAACAAATAATAAACACATATGTTTATATTATATTAGTTGGTGGTTAAATGCTATGGAAAAAAGATGAATGCATAAGGATTATCACCCTCCACCTCTCCCAACACACACATGAATACACCCAAACATTTTTCTTTACAAACTCAGGACTGATTCTGGGAAAGGTAATGACAGAACAGAAAAACTTCAGAAGACTCTTGAAAACTGTTATCTGGCTTGCCTAAAAAGTGACATTCAACTTTTGATCCAAAGCATTAAAATAATTCCATGGTTCATGAAATAAACTCAGAATACATTTCAAATGCTGATCTACTTCAACAGGGAATCAGCTTAGAAACACTCGAATAAGAGCTGCTCCTCTCCCCCAGGTCCTAGCAGAGGGCACAAAATGTATGGAGTGGAGTGCTAAATAAGACTTTGCCCAAAGTTTACCTATTTTATTATTTTTCTAAAAACTCATCTCTTAGTATTATTCATCAGTTCTACTTTTTTGCCTTTTTAAAAATTAAATTTCGTCTTTATTTTTATTATTTTTTTGCCTTTTTTATTCCTTCCTTAATGTTCATTTTGTTGATGACTTTCAAACATTTGGAAATTATAACAGTTCATTTTTTAAACATTTATTGAACTATACAGTCAAATAAGTGCAGAATTATAACAGTACAAGGCATTATCATGAATTTCTACATCTCTGAAGCATTCATTATTCCTCATATAAATCATGACTCCTCTCTCTTCTCCAAATGGAGCACTATTCTGACTTTTAACACTATAATTTTGCTTGTTTTTGAACTTCGTAAAATAAAAATCACATGGTATGCATTAGTTTGTCTAGCTTCTTTCACTCAACATCTTACGCCTTTCTGTGCACTTCCTTGCAAAATCCAGTTTTACTTAGCAAGAAGCCTGCTAAGTCACTTCAGTTAGGACCCTCTATATATGAAGATCCTTGATTCCTGATCAGGTTTCTCAGCCTCCACTATTTTACAGGTGAGGTCTGGTTACTGATTTGTCTGCAGTAAGAATCCTGTTGGGTCGATTTAGCCAGAAACCCCCTTACCCCTGATGGTTCCTCTTAGTAATTTTCCATCCATCAACTCTGACCGATCCCTGACTGTAACTTCTCACTTGCCCATGCTGTATTTGGAGTTGAGCTCAGTCTCTCTCCCATGCTGTAAAATCTCATGGCACTGGTCTCTATACCTATATCTTGATGGTCCTGAGAAAAGCCTACGTTATCATCTTTAACAAGTGTCACTGAATTTTTTTCCTTTAGCACTTTGCCTAAATTTCCCATACTTGTAGTACCTTGCCCTAAAATATCCTATATTGAACAGATGTTCTAACATAATAATAAATTAAAAGTCTTCAGTATTTACTAATTGGCTTGATAAAATGCGACCCCGTGAACCACCCCCTCCCCCAGTTAAAATGGTTAACATAGTCCAATGTAATCTAAAACAGAGTCCTCAAGGATAAACACTTATTATATAAAACCTAAATATCAAAAGGGTGATTGTTTCCCCACTGCTTCTCTATTTAACAGCCCAATTTTGCCTTCTCTTAAACCTGGAAAAACTAAAAGGCATTTCATGTTGGTTAGTATAACCTTTATACTGTGGTTCCATATCTTATGGCCCCCATACTCAATATTATTAAAACTACTGAGTCCATTGAATCGACAATCAGTAAATACTTTGCTCTTACAGATTTGACTAACATGTTTTACTCAGTGCCTATTTCAACAGCCTCTAAGCTACAATTTGCCTTCACCTCTGAAGGGACATAATGCACCTTTCCCAGGCTACCCATGGGGTACCGCACAATCTTTGCAGACAAGATATTAATTGCATCTACCTTTCTCCAGAAGCGCAGGTATATTATATTGATGATATCCTCTATCATGGAGATTCATTTGACACACTTATTAAGGACACTTAAGTCCAACATCTTTTAGTCCTTTTTAGGTTCTTGGGTCAAGATATGCCTCATTTACAAATTTTACTTTCATATTAAAAACAGGCACTGCTGTTATTATCTTCAGAGACTTCTTCACTTTAAAGGCTTTGGCAAACCTTTTCTCATGCCTCCTGGATATCTATGGACCATCTATGATGGCCATCAGTTGCTCAAGGGCTTCTGATGCAAGAAACTGCCTCTCTTGTCTATACATAAAACAGTAATTGCTGTCTACATGCTGGGGTCTCCTAGAAACAGAGGTTCCCACAGACCCTGAGCCTGTGACCCTCCATACCCACTGCCCATTATACTTTGGGTCATGGAAACAACATCCCACAAATTAAGACAGAATGGAACAAAACCTGGGCCCTTTGATGTAGCCTACCTATGGGAGGAGTGGTCTCGCCTGTCTTCAGTCTCTTGCCAGAAGCCATGGTGCTGGAAGTTGTCACCCCTCCCCCAGAACAGGTTTGACTACCTAGAAAGCCCTTGGGATTAACTAAGTGAATAGCAACGAGAATTCGTGGATTATGCAAATGGTACTGCTAACCACTGTATGTGATCTTAGCACTGGAGGCCCTGGCCAACAAACGGTTCCATCTTCACATTTATTATGACCTACTGGGCTATTATCTAGAAATTGTCTACTTCAGAGTACAGAACTCTGGCAATCTCTGCCTCACATATACCCAAAATAAATATCAAAATTACTCCATATTCCTTTTGGAGTTATAGATATTGCTGGTAACCAAGACACACATTTCACTGCTTACAATACACAATACTGAGTTCTGGCAAAAGGCATTCAGTAGAATTTGCATGTCCTCCGACGAGTCCTAGATAGCCAGTTTAAGTGAGATATATAATGGTCTCCTGAACCACTCTTTCAGATTCCAATCCAACAAATAAAACTCTAAAGGTCTCTATTTTGCCCCAAGCCCTAACCTATAAGTTTTTTAAAAAAATTTATTTTAATTCAAGTATACAGTACATTGGTTAGACATCTATATAGTTCATAAAACGATTCCCCCAATTGCTCCCTCCCTCCCTTGACCCTTCACCCAGCCAACATATTAATGCTAACTGCATTCTCTATGTTGTGCTCCCCATCCCCGTGACAATCCATTAGCTACTAATTTGTACTTCTTTAACCCTTCACACCATTCTCCCAGCCCTCCCCCTCCCCTCTGTCGCCAAACTGTCAACTATATTTGTGAGTCTGTTTTTGATTAGTTTGTTCTCTTTATGCCTTAGATTCAGCATATAAGTGAAATCACATAGTGTATATCTTTCTCTTAAATACCTTCTAGGTCCATAAAAGCAATATCTTCTTCTATCCCCTTCCTTTTAGTCTGTGTGTGTCTTTTAATCTGGAGTGAGTCTCTTGTAGGCAGCATGCAGGGGTTTTGTTTTCTTATCCATTCAGACACTCTATTTTTTAGTTGGAACACTTATTTCTTTTCCATTTGAAGTACTTATTGATAGGAATGTAGTTACCATTCTTTATTCCTGTTTTTGATATGTTTTTTTTCTTCTTAAAGAAGTCCTTCCAACATTTCCTGTAACAATGGCTTGGTAGTGATAAATACCTTT